GAGTGCAGTTCTGGGGAGATCTGGACGCTAGGGGGACAAGCGTGACAAGGCAGACCTGCAAAGTTGGCCATCCCTGTACAAGTGAATGGAATAGAAATTGTGGGGCTTGTTGACTAAGGGTATGGCCAGACCCTCGTCCAGACCTTGGTGATTCCTAATCCTGGACCAACTTGTGGCTTCATCCTGCTATAATATGTCGATGGGGATGAGAACCTTATCCACACATTTAAGTGACTCCAACAGTAGGGGGACACAGAGTCCCTGTTCGTTGGCATTGCACCTGTGGTAAATGAGGAGCGGGGGGTAGCTCCCTTTTATGGACGCCCAGCCAGCCAGTCAGTTAGCTATAAAAATCCTTCTCAGTAGCTGTTCTCTTCTTGCCTTATCTGTAAAGGGTTAAGAAGTCTCACTGAAATGCTTAGGTAAGAGGAAGTGAGTTGGCACCTGGCCAAAAGAGCCAATGGGAAGACTAGAAACTTTCAAATTGGAAACAAAACTGCCCCTCTGTCGGCTGGTCTTTCAGCTGAAGGAACCAAGCCAGCAGGTATGTTGTAAGAAGCTTGGGACCAGGTATGGAAATTTCCCAGCATCCATACCTAGAATAATTTATTTGGAACTACATAGATGTAAGTAGGGCAGGAAATGTTTAGATAGATGTGATCAGGTTTCTCTCTTTATTTTGGCTTGTGAATTCCTCTGTGCTGAACACAGGTACTTCTGTTCTTTTGTAATGGTTAAGCTGAACCCCAGGGAAGCAATTCCTGGTGTTTAATCCTTCCAGTTGCTTTTTAACATCTAGCAGCAGCCCTGATTTTCCAGATTTCTTTCTTTCTTTCTTTCTTTCTTTCTTTCTTTCTTTAAAATACAAATAATCTTTTTAAGAACATGATTTGATTCCTGTGTCTTAGGAAGAAGAGGGGGTCTGTGCACAGGTTATTCAGTCAGCTACTAAGCAGGGCCGGCTCCAGGCACCAGCTTGTCAAGCAGGTGCTTGGGGCGGCCACTCCGGAGAGGGGCGGCACGTCCAGCTATTCGGCGGCAATTCGGCGGATGGTCCCTCACTCCTGCTCGGAGCGAAGGACCTCCCACTGAATTGCCGCCGCAGATCACGATCGCGGCTTTTTTTTCTTTTGGCTGCTTGGGGCGGCCAAAACCCTGGAGCCGGCCCTGCTACTAAGAGGAACAAAGGGTTCCAGATTCAGCTGGTCGCAACAGATTATTTATTTTCCTTTTCCTTTTCTCAGCTCTTCCCCGGAGAGGGGGAGTAAAAGAGCTTGGGGGTACCCCACAGGAAGGAATTCCCAGGTGCGCCTAACTGGGCTCTCAAAGGGGTTTTGCATGTGGGTGGTAGCAGCGATACAACTCAAGGCCAGGGAATCTGTAACCTTGGGAGTTTAATACAAGCCTGGAGTGGCAAAGTATTTTTTAAGGTCTTTGCAGGCCCCCACCTTCTGTACTCAAAGTGCCAGAGTGGGAATCAACCTTGACAGCACCAATGTTTGCCTATCCTGGTATTGTTGGCTGAGGCTGGAACTGTTTTCAGGAGTTGCTAAAGGAGCTTGTGAGACCCCCTTCAGACTGTGGGATCTCCTTGCCTCCAACCAGAGGTCCTGCTGAGACTCCAACCAGGGGTGAAAATAAGTTAAAGGACTTACCAGTACGCCAGAGTCCTGAGCAGGGGGCGGGGCCTCAACCGCCCCAGCCCTTTAAATCCCCAGCAAAGCCCTGCTGCTGGAGCCCTGGGGTAGCGGCAGCGGGGCTCCGGTGGCGATTTAAAGGGCTCCGGGGTGGTAGCAGCAGCTCCATTACCTGAGTCTGATATTCTGACCCAGTTCTCCAACTTTGTAGAGAAATAACGGGTGGACAACATACTGAGCTAAGCATACACTCAAGTGGCAGTAGTAAATGGGGAGACCATCAAGCCCCATGAAGCAGGACTGTTTCCACAATTTGAAATTCAGGGTGAACACTTATACCACATTGAAAAGGACCAGCAGACTGGGGAAGTTTGGAATCAGCTTCTGGTACCCAACTGTACTGGAGGGAGGTGATGCAACTCACCCATGTCATAAACTTTGCAGAGCACTTAGGGAGGGAGAAGATGTTAGCCCAGATTCTAGCCTGGAATCTACAAAGATGTTCCAGATTTCTGTGCCTCATGCCTGCAGTGTCAGCCTACATCTCCTCAGACCACAAAGAGCCTCTCCTTCCCACTAGTAAGTATGCCATTCGGCCAGATTGGAATGGACATAGTCGACTCCCTGGAGAACAGTGCCTCAGGCTACTGGTCATTTTAGTTACAGTAGACTATGAAACTAGGTACCCTGAAGCAGTACCATTACATTCTATGAATGTCAAAACAGAGGCCACTGAACTCATGAAAATCTTTGCTTAGGATGGGCTACTATGGGAGAGCTCAACAGATCAGGGAATGAACTTTATGCCTCAGATGGTCAAGCAACTCTGCCGATTGCTGAAAATCAAGGTTCTCAGGATATCTGTTCACCACCCCCAAACAGATGGCCTGGTGGAAAGATTCAACAGAACACTAAAGAGGATGCCCTGGAAGTTTGTCCTTACAGATGGATATGTGACACTGAGACCAGTTACTCCCTCCTCCCCTGTTCTCCAGGCAAGAAGTCCCCCAGTCCTCCACTGGCTTCTCACTATTTGAGCTCTTATATGGGAGGCATCCCCATGGGATTGTAGAACTCATTTGAGAAATGTGGAAAGAACAGCTATTTCAGGCCAATAACGTAGTACAATACGTCCTGGACCTATGGGAGAAGCTCGGTGTCCAGGGCTCACCACCTACATACCCAGAGTACACAGGAAGCAGGGCTCACCTCTGCGAATTGCAACCCAGTAATTGGGTTCTTCTGTTATTACCCACTGCCATTACCCACATTAAAACTCCTAGCTTGCTTGCAAGGGCCCTATAAGGTGATGTGAAGAGTAGGGCCAGTAAACTACAAAATCTGAGAACTGAACAAGTGAAAGGTACACCAAATCTACCATGTAAATCTTTAAATACCTTGGAAAGCCCAATAGCTTACCAATATTAGAATTAGGCCCTCAGGTTGATGAGGCCTCAGAGCCAGCAATGGTCAAGACTGGAAACAATCTCACCCAGACCAGAGACCCCAGACTCAACAGATGATAGATGTCTTCTCTTTTGTATTTTCTACTCAACCTAGACAGACCCATAACATCCAGATGAAACTGGGGCTTAAAGTCAGAGAAAATTCTCAACCCCTTCCCCAGGAGTTGAGGGGAACCATGAAGCGAGAATCCCAATCAATGCTAGAACTAGGAGTAATCAGGGAATCATTCAGAGACTGGAAACGCCCTGTAGTATTGGTCCCCAAGCCTGATTGGACCACCTGGTTTAGTAATGACTTCCAAAAGGTCAACACAGTCTCAAAATTTGATGTGTAACTGATGCCTTGCATTGACAAACTACTTGACAGGCTAGAGTACATCACCACCTGGATCTGAAGAAGGAATGTTGGCACATCCCGGGAATCCAGGGAAAAGAGAGCTTTCTCCACTTCCTTTGATCCATCCTTCCCTACCCCCCGCCCCCCATCAGGGATTGACATTCACAGGGCCCTCAGCTGGGAGGAGTGGAGAGAGAGGACCTGGGTTCCCTTACCCCCCAAGCCTTAAAGACTGAGGCTGCTCAACCAATGAGGGGGAAGAGATCCAGGCGCTCCAACAACTGGGCCACCTGGCCCTCCAAGCCCCCTGTTACAATTCCATTAACAGAGGCACAGCATGCAAATCACAGGAGGGGACAGTAACACTCTAGTTGGCGCTGGTAGGGCCTCAGCCAGAGCGCTATGTACAGTTATGGTCACCAGTGTATAGAAAGGATGTAGAGAAACTGGAAAGGGTCCAGAGGCGAGTGACAAAGATGATCAAAGGAACGGAACGCAAGCTGTATGAGCAAAGGCTGAAGGAACTGGGTATGTTTAGTTTGGAAAAGAGATTAAGGGGGCACATGACAATGATCTTCAAATATTTGAAAGGCTGCCATAAAAAAGATGAAGAAACATCATTCTCTCTTCCCACAGAGGGCAGGACAAGAGGCAATGGGTTCAAACTACAGCAGAGCAGATTTAGATTAAATCTCAAGTAAAACTTCCTAACTGTGAGAACAGTAGGACAGTGGAACAGAGGCCTCGGGAGGTTGTGGAAGCTCCTTCCCTGGTGGTTTTCAGAAGGAGGCTGGATAGCCATCTGTCTTGGATGATTTAGACACAACAAATCCTTCATTTTGGCATGGGTTAGACTAGATGACCATTGCAGTCCCTTCTTATGCTATGATTCTATGATTTTAAATCACATTATTTTTAGCCAATTTCCTGATGTTTTTGGGCCTGTCTCCTGATTTTTGAAAACTTGGGTATGGCAGTGCGGGAAAGTCTGTTTACCATTCCACAAGAATATATGAATGTTAAAGGCTGTTTTCCCTACAAGCTGAAAGGCGGTTACCCCAAGTCAGCTAGGGGCACCTGATCCCAATTAAGGGCTGCCAATAAGCTTCTCCAGGGTGAGAGGCTGTGTTCCTTCCCATAGGGGAAATAGCCAAACCTGAGTGCCTGCTAGGTAAGGACGGAGACCCCAGGGAAAACCAACAGGGCAACACCCTTCCCCAGTGAGGAGGCAGAGAAAGGTACCTCACTGGGGTTTTAGTTTATGAGACTGTTTCTTTTTTGTTTGGTGGAGGATCACCCCTTAGGCCGACTGTCAGGGCTACCCTGAAAGTATGGCCAAGGGAACACAGAAGGGGAAAGGCAAACCCTGCCCAGAGAGGGGCTGATTAACCCCAGGCCCACCATCGCCAGAGGGGAAAGCACTAAGGTCTGGCGAGACAAAGGAGGTGCCTTGACACAATATGTCAAAAGAATTGTGTGACAGTAAGTAGATTTTCCACTGTTCTTTTCATTTTATGGCTTTTCTGTTAGTTAACATCAACCTCTTACATTAACCCCCTATTAATTAGATTCAATAACACTTTCAAAGAACAGACCTGAGCAGAGAACTCCAGCATCTTCACCGTGCCCACAGTTATGCTGACCCCATCCACCAGAGGAACAATCCCGAAGATAGGATTCGCTTCCAGAGCAACTCACATCATCCAGCCAGATCTGCCCTGATCCTTCCCCATAATGAGCTGAGCCAGTTGCATTAAGGGCGCGTCCACATCCCAATTCTTGGCAAATGACATTGGCATCTGATGTGTCCCAGGAATCATCACAGACTGTCCCCCAGATGCCATTGTAATAAATCTCCACTCTCCCAGCACATCGATCTGCTCCATTCACCAGTCTGATCTGTTTGCTTCCTGTAGGGATAAATTGCACATATTAATATCACATTTCTTTGATCTTCTTACTAATTTGCATGAATTCATGTCAGGAGGGCCTGATTTTATTCATCCCAGTGTGCTAAAGGAATTAGAAGAAGAAATCTCGGTGCCACTGGCAATAATATTTGCAAATTCATGGATGATAGGAGAGGTCTGGGAAGACTGGCTAGGGACTAACATAGTGCCTATCTTTAAAAAGGGGGGAAAGGAGGATGGGGAACTATAGACCAGGCATCCTGACTACATACCTGGGAAACTACTAATGTATAAAACAAGCAATTTGTGATTACCTGGAGGATGAAGGGATGATCACTAGGATCCTGCATGGATTTATTAAGAACAAATCATGTCAAACCAGTTTGATATTATTCTAAGGGCTTGTCTGCACTTTGCGCTGGATCGACAGGCAGTGATTGATCCAGTGGGGGTTGATTTATCACATCTTGTCTATACGTGATAAATTGATCAACAAGTGCTCTCCTGTCAACTCTGGCACTCCACCAGAACGAGAGGCGCAGGTGGAGGCGACAGGAGAGCATCAGCTGTCGACTTACCACAGTGAAGACACCGCGGTAAATAGATCTAAGTCAGTCGACTTCAGCTACGCTATTCACGTAGCTGAAATTGCGTAACTTAGATCAATCCCCCTCGGTAGCGTAGACAAGCCCTAAGACCAGTAATTGGTTTTGAGGATGAGGGAATGCAATGGCCATAATATACCTGGACTTTAGCAAGGCTTTTGACACAGTCCCACATGCCATTCTGATAAGTAAGCTGGAGAAATGCGGGCTTGGCAGAACTACCAGTACGTGGATACGTAATTGGTTAAACAACCGCAAACAAAGATTGACTATTAATGGAATGATGTCAGATTGAAGGGAGGTGTCAAGTGAGGTTCCACAGGGGTCTGTTCTGGGTCTGGTGTAATTTAGCATCTTTATTAATGACCTGGATGGAGGAATATAGAGCATACTGATCAAATTTGCAGATAGCACAAAGCTAGGGGGGTTGCCAACACTTCGGTGAATTGAGATAAAATTCAAAGAGATCCTGATAAATTGAAGAACTGGGCTACAGATTAAAAAAAAGGAATTCAACAAAGACAAATGTAATGTTCTATATTTAGGGGAGAAAAACCAAAGGTACAAATGTGGAATGGGAGGTAACTGGCTTGGCAGCAGCACTGCTGAGAAGGATCTAGGAGTTGTGTTGGATCACACACTCAACTTGAGTCAACAGTGTGATGCTGTTGGGAAAAAGGCAAATGCAATTGTAGGTTGCTTGATGAAAAAGAAACTGCCAGCCTGCACAGCAAGTGTTAAAGAGCCTTTGGGCCCAGCTAGCCCCACCATGCTACATCTGCAGCATAAGCCAGGCATGGGAGCAGGGGTGAAGAGACCGTGGCTCAGTTTGGTGCTGACTGGTGAAGAGTCAGGAGCTAGCCGTCTCCCTGCTTGAAGGGAAGGAGCAGTAATCGGCCAGCCAGGGCAGCTGACTCAGAATAAGCACTGTCTCCACAGCCAAGGGAGACTGTGAAGGAGCCTCCAGCACCTGAAGTAACTTACTGAGTGGAAACCAGAGACGTTGTGGGGTTTGCCCTCACCAACTTGTGGCTGCCCTGCCTGAAGGAGCTGGAGATCGCAGCAAGGCGCTGCCCTAGACCAAGAGGGAACCCTGCAGGAAACAAGCCATCCAGCAAACTACACTAGAGGGGCCATTCCTCAAACTGAACAGACCGGTAGGAAGTAGCCCATGGAAGAGGATTTTGACTTCCTGCTGGGAGGGATCCCCTCGCTGTTCAGGGGCTGACTTACTCAGGGACCTGGGTTTGGACCCAATGGAGAGGAAGGGCCCGGATCTCACTACCCCTCTAGGCCATAAACGCTGAGGCTACTCAACCAATCAAAGGGCCGAGAGCCAGGCACTCTAACCACTAGGCTGCTTGGCCCTCCAAGCTGCCTGCTACTGTTGCATTAACAGAGGCATAGCATGCAAATCACAGGAGGTGACAGTACCGCTCCACTTGGCGCTGGTTGGGCCTCAGCTGGAGTACTGTGTCCAATATGGTCACCAGTGTATAGAAAGGTTGTAGAGAATCTGTAAAGGATCCAGAGGAGAGCGACAAAGATGAGCAAAGAAAGAGAATGTAACCCATATGAGAAAAACTGAAGGAACTGGGTATGTTTAGTTTGGAATAGAGGAGAGTCCGTGGGGAAGTGATAGCAGTCTTAAAATACTTGTAAGGCTGCTGTTAGTATATAGACCTGTTTGTTTGCCTGAGATAGAATTTTGAGTTTGGTTTTTGATACTCTCATATCCTTACTAATTTGTGTGAACAAAGACCAAAGACACTGTGTGTTATATTTCCCACAACCAAATGGGGCTTTTAGCACAATGAGAAAAGATAAGAAATAGAGTTAAAGTGTTACTGGTTATGCTGGGAGTATGTATGAGCATACACTGGAAGGCTGCCTGGCTCCTCTCTCAAGCCAAGATCAAGCAACCAGTTAGGAGGGGCGAGAGGGGGTGGGGAGAGACACAAGAAACACTAAAAGCCAAAGAAAGGCCTGGCGTTGGCCAGTACACAACCTCACTCTCTGCCCCTCCAATGGGATACAAAAGAGGTGGTACCAAGCCCCCAGACTCAAGACCCTCCAAAACGGAACTTGACCATAAATTGTAAGGGGTGGGACCAACACCATGCATTACAGGTATAATTATGCCTGCTCAGGAAGGGGGAACTGGAACACTGGGACAAAGGCTCAGCAGTGTCAGAGCTATGGATATACTTGCTTGAAACTAACCCCAATAAATATTGCATTGCCTACACTTCGGACTTCCGGTCTTCTGCTTTCTGTCAGCATGACATGAATAGATGGAGAAAAATCGTTCTCTCTTGCTATGAGGGTAGGGCAAGAGGCATGGGTTCAAACTACAGCAGAGCAGATTTAGATTAAATCTCAGGAAAAACTTCCTAACTTTAACAACAGTAGGACAAAGGAACAGAGGCCTAGGGAAGTTATGGAAGGTCCTTCCCTGGATGTTTTCAGAAGAAGGCTGCATAGCCATCTCTCTTGGATGGTTTAACCACAGCACGTCTTTCATCTTGGCAGGGGTTAGATTCAATGACCCCACTGGTCCCTTTTAACACTATGATTCTAGGAGTGTATGATTTTAAATCTCGTTATTTTTAACCAATTTCCTGATATTTTAGTCGTAACTCATGATTTTTGAACACTTGGGTTAGGCAGAGCTGGAAATTCTGGTTATCATTCCAAAGGAATATATCTCAAAAGAACTATGTGACAGGCAAGGAGATTCTCCACTTTCATACTCAGTTTCTTCTCATTTTATGGCTTCTCTGTTAGTTAACACTGACCTCTTATATTGACATCCTATTAATTAGATTCAATAAAGCTTCCAAAGAACAGACCTGAGCAGAGAACTCCAGCATCTTCACCATGCCCACAGTTATGCTGACCCCATCCGCTGGAGGAACAGTCCCGAAGATAGGATTCATTTCCAGAGCAACTCACATCATCCAGCCAGATCTGCCCTGATCCTTCCCCATAATGAGCTGAGGCAGGGGCATCAATGGCGTGTCCACATCCCAATTCTTTGCAAACGACATTGGCATCTGATGTGTCCCAGGAATCATCACAGACTGTCCCCCACGTACCACTGTAATGAATCTCCACTCTCCCAGAGCAACCATCTGCCCCATTCACCAGTCTGATCTGTTTGCTTCCTGTAGGGGGAAAAATCCAACTTTTAATATCATATTCCTGTGTTCTTCTGACTAATTTGAATGAATTCAAGTCAGCGGGGCTCAATGTTGTTCACCCCTGTCTGCTAAAGGAACTAGCTGAAGAAATCTCAGCCCACTGGTAATAATATTTGCAAACTCAGAGATGACAGGAGAGATCACAGAAGACTGGAGAAGGGCTAATGTAGTGCCCGTCTTTAAAAAGGGGGGAAAGGAGAAGCCACGGAACTATAGACCAGTCAGCCTCACCTCGATACCTGGGATTTACTAGAACAATGTATAAAACATTCAGCTTGTGAATACCTGGAGGATGAAGGGGTGATCACCCAATATGGATTTACTAAGAACAAACCATGCCAAGCCAGCTTGCTTTTCTTCTTTGACAGGGTAAGTGGTTTGGTGGATGGGGGAATGCAATGGACATAATATACCTGGACTTTAGCAAGGCTTTTGACACAGTCCCACATGACATTCTGATAAGTAAGCAGGAGAAATGCAGGCTTGGCCGAACTACCATTGAGTGGATACATAATTGGTTAAACAACTGCAAATAAAGATTGATTATTAATGGAATAATATCATATTGGACTGAGGTCTCACGTGAGGTTCCACCGGGATCTGTTCTGGGTGCAGTGTTATTTAACAACTTTATTAATTATCTGGATGTAGGAATAGAGAGCATATGGATCAAATTTGCAGATAACACAAAGCTAGTGGTGGTTGTGAACACTTTGGAGGATAGAGCTAACATTCAAAGGAATTTTGATAAATCGGAGAACTGGGCTATAGACAACAAAAAGAAATTCAGCAACGACAAATGTAAGAAACTATACTTAGGGGAGAAAACCCAAACGCACAAATACAGAATGGGGGTTAACTGGCTTGGCAGCAGCACTGCTGAGAAGGATCTGGGAGTTGTGGTGGATCACATCCCCAACATGTGTCAGCAATGTGATACTGTTGCAAAAAAACCCCACAAATGTAATTTTAGGTTGCATTAACAGAGGCATTGCATGCAAGTCACGGGAGGTGATAATGCCACTCTACTCAGCACTGGTTAGGCCATAGCTAGAGTACTGTGTCCAATTTTGGTCACCAATGTATAGAAAGGATGTAGAGAAACTGGAAAGGGTCCATAGGAGAGCAACAGAGATGATCAAAGGGATGGAAGGCAAGTCACATGAGCCAAAACTGAAGGAACTGGGTATGTTTAGTTTGGAAAAGAGGAGATGAAGGGGCGACATGACAGTGTTTTTCAGATACTTGAAAGGCTGCCACAAAAATGATGGAGAAACTTTGTTCTCTCTTGCCACAGAGGGCAGGACAAAAGACAATGGGTTCAAACTACACTGTAGGAGATTTTGATTAAATCTCAGGAAAAACTTCCTAACTGCAAGAACAGTAGGACAATGGAACAGAGGCCTAAGGAGGTTGTGGAAGCTCCTTTACTGGAGGTTTTCAAAAGGAAGCTGGATAGGATAGCCATCTGTCTTGTATGATTTAGACACAAAAAGTCCTGCATTTTGGCAGGGGCTAGACTAGATTCCTTCTAACACTATGATTCTATTATTTTAAATCACATTATTTTCAACCAATTACTTGATTTTTGGGACCTGATTCATGATTTTTGAATACTTGGGTTTGGCACAGTTGGAAAATCTGGTTACCATTCTACAGGAATACACTGGACCCTCGCTAAAATGTGCATTAATGTGCGTTAATGCGTGGAACGCGTTGCCATGGATACCAATTTAAATAACTAATTTGGGATCCATTGCCGCGACTGCGCTTTACGCGAATCCGCGCTATAGCGACGCGGGCTATAGCGAGGGTCCGGTGTATATATCAAAAGAATTGTGTGACCAGGAAGGAGACTCTCCACTGTCATACTCAGGTTCTTCTCAGACTCATAGACTTTAAGGTCAGAAGGGACCATTATGATCATCTAGTCTGACCTCCTGCACAACGCAGGCCACAGAATCTCACCCACCCACTCCTGTAACAAACCCCTGACCTATGTCTGAGCTATTGAAGTCCTCAAATCGTGGTTTAAAGACTTCAAGGTGCAGAGAATCCTCCAGCAAGTGACCCTGCCCCATGCTGCAGAGGAAGGCGAAACCCCCCCAGGGCCTCTGCCAATCTGCCCTGGGGGATAATTCCTTCCCGACCCCAAATATGGTGATCAGCTAAACCCTGAGCATGTGGGCAAGACTCACCAGCCAGACACCCAGGAAAGAATTCTCTGTAGTAACTCAGATCCCACCCCATCTAACATCCCATCACAGGCCATTGGGCATATTTACCGCCAACGGTCAGAGATCAATTAATTGCCTAAATTAGGCTATCCCATCATACCATCTCCTCCATAAACTTATCAAGCTTAATATTGAAGCCAGATATGTCTTTTGCCCCCACTGCTCCCCTTGGAAGGCTGTTCCAGAACTTCACTCCTCTGATGGTTAGAAACCTTCGTCTAATTTCAAGTCTAAACTTCCTGATGGCCAGTTTATATCCATTTGTTCTTGTGTCCACATTGGTACTGAGCTTAAATAATTCCTCTCCCTCCCTGGTATTTATCCCTCTGATATATTTATAAAGAGCAATCATATCTCCCCTCAGCCTTCTTTTGGTTAGGCTAAACAAGCCAAGCTCTTTGAATCTCATTTTATGGCTTCTCTGTTAGTTACCACCCACCCATTATATTTACCCCCTATTAGTTATATTCAAATAAACTTTCAAAGGACAGACCTGAGCAGACAACTCCAGCATCTTTACTGTGCTCACAGTTGTGCTGACCCCATCCTTTGGAGGAACAGTCTCGAAGATAGGATTCGCTTCCAGAGCAATTCACATAATCCAGCCAGATCTGCCCTGATCCTTCCCCATAATGAGCCAAGCCAGGTGCATTGATGGCGTGTCCACATCCTAATTCTTTGCAAACGACATTGGCAGCTGAAAGGGCCCAGGAATTATCACAGACTGTCCCCCAGGAGCCACTGTAATAAATCTCCACTCTCCCAGAGCAATGATCTGCCCCATTCACCAGTCTGATCTGTTTGCTTCCTGTAGGGAAATATTCCAGCTTTTAATGTCATATTCCTATGTAGAAGATGAATACCTGCTTTAAGTGAGAATCTCAAGAGAGCTATAACCATTTAGTCCTGACTGGTACCTTCATAGTTCCACTTTAATAAGATTCAATAGAGCATTCATAGAACATACCTGAGCAGAGAACTCCTGCATCGTCGCTGTGTCCACAGTTATTCTTACCCCATCTACTAGAAGGACACTCCCAGATGTAGGATTCAGTTCCAGAGCATTTCACTTTGTCCAGCCAGATCTGCCCTGATCCTTCCCCATAATAAGCAGAGACAGTTACATTGATGATGTGTCCACACCCCAGTTGTTTGCAAACAACATTCGAAGCCAGTAGATCCCAGTAATCATCACAGACTGTGCCCCAGGTGCCATCATTATAAACCTCCACTCTCCCAGCACAATGATCTGCTCCATTCACCAGTCTGAGCTGTTTGCTTCCTATAGGGAAAAATCCCAGCTGTTAGTTTAACATATTGCTAGTGCAGGTTTCGGAATGAAAACGTGAACAAATGACACCAATATTCTCAAGCAAAACTAATGCTATATAAAGACCAGGAAAAAAAATATAATGATGAAAAATCCTTTTTTATTATAGTGAATAAAATATTAAGTGGAGTCTAAGGTAATAAGAGGAATAATTCTGATTTTGGATTTCATGACCTTTAGAATCCGAAGTGGTTTGAGGCCTTTTATTCTTTGTCAAAACATTTACAGGTATATTCTTCTTTTGTTGCCTTTGTTTTTTCATTGTGGGTTTTGGTATTTAATACATATGAATTTAAAATGACAGCACATCAAATGAATAAATAAAATGGGAGGAAATGGAGAACAGGGAGATTCCACTGATGCTAGACCAGTGGTCTTATCTATCATCTCTTGACAGAGCAAATACGTGGAGACAGAGCAAAGTAACAGGTAAATCTGGATATGGTCAAACAAGCAAGTTTTTTTAATTGAAAAATCAGGATTCTCTAACTTACTAGAATTTTTTTGAAAAGTTCTGTCAGAAAGATAACTGAAGAAAATAAACAAACATGGTGTAAGAGGAAATAGCCCTTCACTATGCTTCTTTGTTTCCTAGCCTTTGACCATTTTTTGATTTGTTACAAAGCTATGTCTCAGTATGGTAAGAAAGTCCAGTGGTAGAGAACTGAGTTGGGAGACCTGGACTTAATTCCCTTTTCTGTTATAAACTTTATGTGTGACCTTGAACAAAGTCCCTTATATTCTTTGTGCCTCAGTTTCTTACCTCACAGGAGCATTGCAATGATAAATTCGTTAAAAATTTGGAGGGTTGGGGATTATATGGGGATGGGGGCCATAAAAGTACCTTAGTTAATTTTTAAAAATTGAACACCTTACAACTCTACCAGTTTTCCTCATAGACCGTGAGTTTTCAGATCTTTCTGTGGGTGTGCAGAGAAAATGCTGGCACCCAAGGATGTTTACTGGGACTGGGAGAAAACAGAGAAAATATCCTTCCCCTGGGTTTTACCTATCAATGCTAGGGCCTGTGTCTGAGTGTTCCCTTTTCTCATGTAGCTTAGACTGTTTGGAACTGATTAAACATGTGTGTGGAATGAGTGGGGAGATGTATTCAAAATGAAATGTGTGGAGTAGAGATGGGTGGATGTAGAATGGGTAGGTATAGAGTGCAGAGATGATAGTACAGAATGAGTGGCTATATGTATTCAGTGTGTGTGTGGAGTGAATAGGGTTAGGAAGTGGGATAAGTTTTGTCTGGGGAATATGCGCATTGCCAGCACATAGGGGGAAAGATGGGTTGCAGTGAAAGTTGGAGCAGGAGGAATGCCGATCAAGTTGTATGGAATAAAATGTATGGAGAAAGTGTAAATAGGACAAATGGGCAGTGTGTTTGTAAACGAATATATGTTAATGAATATTTATACAAATACATGCACATTAGAACATGCTGGGTTTTGTCTGTAAATGTTGGCAGGTATGAAAGTGTTTAATAGTGAGATGCTTGCACCAAGGTTACTCAAGATATTTAAAACAACACATTCAGATGTGGTCAGATATTAACAAGTTGGAGGTGCAGGGGATAGCAAGCTGATGAGGTTTGCTGTTAACATGAAGGACGAAATTCTGCCAGTGCTGCATGGTACTGTATAAGTTAGAGAAGAAGTACTTGTTGAGTGGAGGGTGCCAAGTATGATATATCTGTGATCAATGCCCTTGCCGCACTGCTCTAAGTAAGGCAGGTAATGGGAGCCAATATTTGCAGCACATACAGTTTGTTCAAAAACTAGGTATTGCTAGTGCTGGGCAGTACCCCCGAGGCACTCATTGGACCCTCTGATTAACTCTGGCTATATGTAGTGGACAGCTATAACATGAATATAATATGGGCAGGAACTGTGCAGGCTTCTACACGGTACATCACTCAGTACACCACCACTGCCAATACACCTGATTTCAGATTTGGAAATGTGCTCAGAAATGCCAATCTGTAATATGTGCGTGTGATGAGCAGGAAGATTTTCTTCTACTCTGCACAGCTCTCTTCTTATTGTATTGCTTCTCTATCACTTAATACACAATTCTTAAATTAATCCCCAGCTAATCAACTTCAATAGAGAATGAACAGACCTGAGCAGAGAACTCCAGCATCTTCACCGTGCCCACAGT